AAAGGAGAAGGTTTCGGGGTGTCCCTCTCTGATTCAGGTTGAAGTGATTTTTCCATTAGGATCATTTTTTGAGGTGGAGATCCCAGTCGCTCTCACCTTCAGGTTGCTACAGCGGACACACTCGGATGGTATGTGCGTCTCTGTGAGGCATCTCACACAGAGAGAGTGCCCATCAGAGCACAGCATAGCTTCTTCGCAAGAGCTGCATTTTTTTACACCAGGGGAGCCTGGCACGATCAAAGTAAAGTCCCAGGTGGACCAAGAACTTTGAGTTTTGTGCTCCACAGGAAGCAGGGAACAGGGGAACACAGAAAAAACTAAGTAAATTTTTTTTATATAACACTAACTACTTATCTAAGGAAAGTTAAATTGAAGCGAACAATTAACTATTTTGCCATCTCTAGGGGTAGAAGCTGACGCACTACCCCGAGCTCAGTCTTCAGTCGAGGACGGTTGAGAAGGAACCGTAGGGGGTCAGGCAGTGTGCACACTGAACGAGACTCCAACGACACCGCAAGACACCTATTGCACATGCATGGCCTCACCAGGCACTGCTACCGAAAATCTCCAATTAACAGCGCCGGGACGCACCATCACCTGAAGTGGAGCACCCACCAGGACACACATTTTGAAGAACCTCAGTTAATGCACAAGGTAAGTAACCCTCTCTTGCACTGATGGTGCAGACCATATTGATGTTGCTGGTTGTTACAGCAGTGCTGAGCAACATGACTGCACGGAGGTGCTAAGTGTTCTGATTGCACAGAACAAACAATAACGCTGTTAGCTTTGGATGTACTGACATAGCCAATAGTCCTGAAGAGTCCAGTAGAGGGAGACATCAAATCTCTTCCAAGACAGACATGAGGAGTTAAAGGCACCAAGAGAGGTGGGGACTGTAGTGAAAGAGCTTGGTACATCAATAATGCCAAAATAGGGCCTTTTTCATCACTTCAGATTGAGACAGGTGAAGACACCAGACTTCATGGTGCCAGAGTCAACAGCACTGCCTCAGAGAGAGCCAACGTGCTCTTGTGCTTTTGATGTGCTGAACCAGTTCCAGAAGACTTACTGTACAATTTCTTTGGTGAGGATGTAGACTTTTGAATGCTTCTCAGGATAAGAACACTTGAGCACTTACATGAGACAGCAGAAGCATATGAAGAACAATGTTTCTCATCCAACTTGTGCTTAAAGTCTTGTGCTAGAGGAGGGGCACTCCTGATACAGAATCTATCGGTTCAAAGTTAGGGTCCAGTTCTGATACTGGACACACAGGTCTGATCATGTCCATTAGATGGACCACTGAACAACAGTCTGCTTTTTCATTGTAGTGGGCAAGGAGGTACAAATTGGGCATCTGTCCCTCATATGCCCTTCCCCTAAGCAGAACAAACATCTTTCTTATCTATTCAGGACAGGGAACACAGCCCTGCATGTAACACATTGTTTGAAACCCAGAGATTTCTTCATAATTAACCTCCAGGATTTACTTTAAAACTAAACTAGCTAACCTAACACTAATTAAACTAACCCAAGTATAAACTATTTGCAAAAAGATTTTTAGAAAGCTGGCTGAACTGCAAAGCTATGGGGAGCTCATACTCTTGCCACGGGCCGTGAGAAGGAAATGAGAGGATAGCGGTGGACACACCCACTTTACAGCCTTGGCTGGGCTCATGTACCACCTAGACATACTGCTGGCAAGAATCTCCCACTTTAGGTCTGTGCAAGTCTAGTGCACTAATGTGCACAATCACTTGAAGGAGAACCATTAAAACACAAATTATCAACATCACATGTCAAAATATACTAAGTAAATATCCTTAAATCAAACTCTAATAAGTTCTCAAGGAGCATTTTTCTTACTCTGCCTACCTGCAAATTTTAATTATTATAGATGTATACATTTTTAGTTGGTTTGTGTGTGAGGTGAAATCATAGTTTATGAACATTTACTGATAATCTAATTCTTCTAAACCTATTTAGAATACATTCTACTCTCAGGAATGAGGACTTTCCAGTGACCCCTTCCAGTCAGTACAGGAACAGCATTGTTTGGCTCCAAGAGCTGCCCCACCCTGCTGGGTGTGTAGGAATAAGCTCTCTTGCTCCATCAAAATGAACAAGGTCTCTTAATTCAACTACACTATATATCCATGCCCAATATCATTAGTATTTCCTTGTTTCCCCATGCATTTGTGAACTTATTGAAACACTTCAACTATTCTAGCACTGGGCCTTTTTCTGGAGTAGAAATAGCTTATAATGTTACGTTACTGGAATAATTTTCTTTAAAAGTTATGTACAGTATAATTCATTTTTTCCCTACAAATCCATATTGAGTAAGTCTTTCATGAATTCAAAGTTGCCGCTCAGATGACTCAAACTCACATTTTATTAGTAGTAACGTTTATATTTAGAGTAATAAATATGTTGGTACCAAAAACACACTGCAACAAAAACCCTACTTACATGGAAATTCCATTTCAAATATGAATCAGGATCTTAAAATGTATCATTTCCAAACAGTATCCTTTGTTTTCCCTTTTAGCACTGAAGTAGTTTGCAAAGACTGTATAGGAGCCATAGAAACAAAACAAAACTTAAAACTAAAATAAATGTTTTATATCTTACACACATCAGTTCCTGAACACTTTACAGAAACAAAAATAAACTTGTTGAGAAAAGGATAATCCTTTCCAGGGAGCTACAAATTAAGCAGCAAAACACGGTAGTTCACTAGAGCCCACCAAAGCAGCAGAAAAAGTCAAATGCATACAGCTCCTCACAAAGAGAGACATATACTGGAAACCAAAAATAGCAAATACAGAGCATTAATGAATTGTAACACATAATGAGACTATAACCTGCCATTTAGTAATTGCACTAAATGTAGTTAAAAATGGTGGCCTTTCACATACTGGGATTAACAGATTATATCCGTAGGAGATGCCTTAGTTGAAACAAAAGATGCAGCCATCTGGTTTCTAGAATCAGCATAAAGAAGTAAATTGGGAAGATTACTGAGGACACATTCCAAACTGCCAAATTGTATCACTCTTTGGAGAGTGGAGACCCAAAAAAAAAAAAGCTATGCCATGTCAAAATAATAATACGAATACTTAACATTATCTTCAACCATTTTTTATCAAAAGGACCTCAAAACACTTTACAAACATTAATTAAACCTCACAACACTCTTCGGAGGTTAATCATATTTCAGGTGGGTATCTAACGATGAGAGAGGTTCAGCGACTTACTCAAGGTCACATAGCAAGATGCTGACAGAGCTTGGAATAAAAACCAGCATGCTCAACTCCCCATTATTTTTCAAGCACCCAAAAGTATAGTAGACACCTGATAAAACATGAAAAAAACCCATAAACTTTAGTCTAAAGAGCATAGAGACTAAAATGTACAAAATGTTGTAAGTGAGGGTCATAGACAAAGGGGGAAGACAGACAACAAAAGTAAGGCAGCTACACAACTTGACAGTTTTATTATTTTGCTCATTTTAGCTGTTCGCTCTTTCCCCTCCACTTCTCATGGAAGAAAGGTCAGGAGGAGTTTTAGAGAGAACTTCTAATTTGAGGAAGGAGGTGGCCTGGCAAACAAACAGTTTCTGAGAGGGAGATCCAAGCATAAGAGCAGCTTGGAATAGAGAGGCTGTCAGTGTTGGGGTGAGGAAGATGCAGAAGTGGGGATGAAAAAAAAAAAAAGGCAAATGAGTGGAACGGATGCAATGTATGAAGGAGAGAATATGAAAGGTGACCAGGTCAGAGCTGAAAGCATGGACTGTGTGATACAGGGCCTTTAAGGCAAGGGGGAAAAAAAGTCCATGTGATTCCCATCATCTGCTCAACCTACTGAACCAAATTCACCCTCTCCCAAGAAAATAAGGGTTGTTCACAACAGCTCCAAAATTAGGCTTTTCACACAGCACCCATGAATAAGGAACCATTAGTTCAGGGATTGAACAATGTAAGAGTACACCTATTTGCCTGAAGACTAAACCCACCACCTATAGCCCAATAAAAAAGACCAGTGAGCTCCAGTGACAACAGCTCCAGCCCCTCAGTCTCCCCCACGCCTTCCTCGTGAGTGGAAGCTACTTTACCCCCCAATCCTCTTCCCTTCCCCTGCCTGCCCCATAAAGCTTAAACCCCCTCCCCACACACTATCGCCTTATCCCTTCCCCAGTATACGGAGGAGCCAGAGCCAGCCTGGCTCCCCCCACCCACGCGGGGTGCGTAGGCTCCTCTGCGCCCTCTCCTCCCGTGTGTAAGGAGGTTTTTCCTCTGCCCCCGACCCCGGTAACCGTTGGGGTTCAAACCTTACCGGTTACCCGGCGCCGCGATGAGGCGGCAGCGGGGAGAGCGCGCGCCGCAGACAACAGCAGCTGTGCGGGGGTAACGAAAGGCAACAGCTGTGAAGACGCGCGAGCTCGAGAGGAGGCAGAGCCGTCGCGGCGGCAGCAACAGCGCGCGGCCGGGATACAGGGGAGGGGGAGGGAACAGTGCGCTGCCAGGAGACAGAGGTGGGGAAAGGGGCCGGGCTTTAAACGAAGCTCCGCCCTAGCCCGAGGAAAGACATGCGGAGATACGTCATCACGCCAGTTACCACCTTCCGTAAGAATTTAAGGGAGCTCCCTCCCATTCGACTACATGAAGAGGGGCGGGCGCTATATGTGATGGATAGCTACTTTATCCAATGGGAAAGGAGGTGAGGCGGGATTCCGTCAGATGGGCAAGTCTCTACCACAATAAGAGTCGCTGACTTTATGTAGTCCTTTGTTTGATTGACGTCCCTGTCCCTGAATTGGCAGAAGGGAAAAAGTGGGCGGGCTGAGTGTGCATTCAAGGTTCCCTTATACCCAATGGCTATGGTGCGAAGGCAGGGCTCCGTTTGATGGGCATCTGGCCCACCTAAAGACGTGGCGCAAAGACGGCATCAATTTGATCGGCTCCTCTGCCGTCCAATGGGAGTGGGTCAGAGGCCAATCATGGCGTGATGAGCTAGCCAATGGGCGCGCCGCAGAGGTGGTGTGAGCGTCTCTCGCGCTCTCTTTTCTCTAACGAGGGGGCCCCTCCTCTCCACCTGCAACCCGCTTGTTGGCTGGGGCCCTTGCAACGCGCGTCGGAGCCGGGGGCTGTAACGTGATGAGCCGGGACCCTGCGAAGGGAGGGGGAAAGCTCTGGCCTCGGGGTGAGGCGGCGGCGGCGGCTGCGCAGGGTGGCCCGGGCCTGCCTGGTAGGTACAGGGAGAGGTGGGGGCCTCTCGTCTCCTGGTCCCGGAGACGGGTTCCCAACGGGGTGGGGGGACCCTCTGTCCGTGCCCAGCGCGGCCCCAGCACGGGCCGAACGGGCTGCAGGGAGGGCGAGGCGGACTCGGCCCTGCGGGCGGGCGGGCGCGGGTGCCCCTCCCGGGGGCACGTAGGGGACCCCGCCCCCGAGCCTTTCAGAGCTGCCGGTTGGCTGAGGCGTCCCGCTGGGCGGGGAGCCGGAGCGGCGGGGCGAGTGAGGCGCAGAGGGAAGCCTCCCCTTCGACCCGGCGGAGCTGCGAGTCCTGTCGCGGCGGGGCAGGGGCGCCAGTTCAGATTTTGGTCGAGGTTGATTCTTCCAGCAGTGGCCCCTGCCAGGTGCCCCGGGGGAATGAACAGGACAGGCACCAGGCAATCCTCGAGTTGCCCGCTCCCAGCTTCTGGCAAACAGCGAGGACCATGCAGACCATGGTGTTGGATCTCTGCCCACCCTGGCTAATATCCTCCGTGAATTTGTCTAGTTCTTACTGGAACCCTGTTACAGTTTTGGCTTCACAACGTCCCCTAGCAAAGAGTTCCACCCGTTGACTGTAAAGAAATACTTGTTCGTTTGTTTTAAATCTGCTGCCTGTTAATTTCATTTGGTGACTCCTGGCTCTTGTGTTATGAGTAGTAAATAATTCCTTATTAAATTTTTCCACACCATTCATGATTTTATAGCCCTCTGTCATATCCTTCGTTAGTCATCTCTTTTCCAAGCTGAAAAGTCCCAGTCCTATTAATCTCTCCTCATACAGAACCCATTCCATACCCCTAATAATTTCTGTTGTCCTCCTCTGTACCTTGTCCAAATCCAATATATCTTTTTTGAGATGGGGTGACCAAATCTGCACACACTATTCAATATGTTGGCATACCATGGATTTATGTAGAGGCAATGTGATATTTTTCTCATATTATCTATTCCTTTCTTAATGATTCCCAATATTCTGTTAGCATTTTTAATTGCCACTGGACATTGAGCAGATGTTTTCAGAGAACTATTCACAATGACTCCAAGACTTCTTTATTGATGGGTTCAGCTAATTTAGACCCCATCATTTTGTATGTATAGTTGGGATTATATTTTGCCAACTGCATTACTTTGCATTTATCAACTTTTGAATTTCTTCTGCCATTGTGTTGCTCAGTCACCCAGTTTTGTGAGATCCCTTTGTGACTCTTCGCAATCTGCTTTGGACTGAACTATCTTGAATAATTTTGTGCTAGCTACAAATTTTACCACCTCACTGCGTACCCCTTTTTCCAGATCATTTATGAATATGTTGAATAGGACTTGTCCCAGTACAGACCCCTGAGGGAAACCACTATTTACCTCTCTCCATTCTCACCTTTTATTCCTACCCTTTGTTTCCTATCTTTTAACTGAAGTGCCTGGCAGTGCTTTCAGGATCACTTAGTTTACTTTAATGATGGGTTTCAGAGTAACAGCCCTGTTAGTCTGTATTCGCAAAAAGAAAAGGAGTACTTGTGGTACTTGTAGCTCACAAAAGCTTATGCTCAAATAAATTGGTTAGTCTCTAAGGTGCCACAAGTCCTCCTTTTCTTTTTACTTTAATGATAAGCCTTTTGTTATCTTAATCACCCTGTCTCTGGTTATAAACAAACTCCCTGCACCAAAGGCTGTGCTGCTCCCAGCTTCAGAAGTTATTACATATCACACTCCAGCTGTTGCAGTTAAGAGTTCTGTCTGGGGCTAGAGTGAGAAGACCTCCCCTAGGGAACTCGGGGAGAGGGTCTAGAGTCCTCCCCCCCCCCCCCACGCACCCAAATGTCACCCCTGGGCCAGGGGTGAAGACTCATGCGCTTCGGGGAACATCGCTGACTCACAAGCACCTTCCACCATGGCAGAATCCTGCTGACACAGAGGACAGGAATACAGCTGCTGCCTGCTCCAAGTAATCTGGGTGGGGAACAGACCACAGTAGTGCAGGGCCCTGAGGAGTTCATGATATCAGAAGTCAACTATGAATTCCAGAACCCTGCTAATCCTAATTGGCCAGGCATAATCGCAGGAAATGCTCCTCTAGACTCAGGCTTGGATGGCCTACACATGATACTTATAGCTACATAGCTGTGTCACAGGGGTGTGGGGGAAAACACTGACGTAACCCTTACTGTTGATATATTCCTCAGCAGAAGTATTTGTCCATCAACATAGCTAACATCATTCAGGGAGGTGGTATTCCTACCTTGACAGAAAAATTACTCCTATCAGTGTAGGGCAGTGGCTTTCAGACTATTTTTCTGAGGACCCAGTTGAAGAAAATTGTTGATGCCTGTGATCCAGTGGAGCTGGGGATGAGGTGTTTAGTGTGTAGGAGGGGCTTAGATCTGGGGCAGAGGGTTAGAGTAGGGGGGTGAGGGCTGCGGGGTGGGACCAGGAATGAGGAGTTCAGGGGTGGGAGGGGGCTCTGGACTGGAGCAGGGGTTCGGGGGGTGAGGGCTGTGGCTGGGAATGAGGGGTTATGGGAGTGGGAGGGGGGTGCTGGGCTGAGGGTTGGGATGGAGGGGGTCTGTGACCTGGGGATGAGGGGTTTGGGGTGCAGGAGGGGGCTCAGGGCTGGGGCAAGAGGTTGGAGTGTGGGAGGGGGTCAGGGCTCTGGGCTGGGGGGGCAGGCTCTTGGGGGGCAGGGATGAGGGGTTTGGGGTGCAGGAAGGGGCTCGGTTTGGGGGGGCTCAGGACTGGGGCATGGGATTGGGGCACGGGTTTGGGGTGTGGGCTTACCTCCGGCAGCTCCCAGTCAGCAGCACAGCCGGGATGCAGAGGCAGTAGGCCAGTGGGAGTGGTGCTCGGGGCAGGGGCAGTGCGTGGAGCCCTGTGCCGCTGCCCCCCACCCCCCAGGAGCCAGTCCTGCTGATGGTCACTTGTGGGCGCAGCGCGGTGTCAGAACAGGTAGGGACTAGCCTGCCTTAGCTGGGCAGCACCACTGATGGGACTTTTAACTGCGCAGTCAGCAGTGCTGACCAAAGCCACTGCGACCCAGTCCCTTCCATTCTGTGACCCAGTTCTGGGTTGCGACCCACGGTTTGAAAACCACTGGTGTAGGCTATGTCTACACTCCAGTCTCCAGTATATAGACATAGAGTAAGGGTTTATTGACCTAGGGAGTTATTAAACGAATTTGGAATATGGCATTTATGGGGGAGTGAGAGCATCCACTAAAACAGTTAATCTGCTTTAAATTACACCCTACTTTATTCCAGATCAGTGTCCAGGGACAGACAAGCCCTAATATCCCAAAATAAAAGGAGTGTCCAGGATTCTTGCTATCAGTGCCTTCAGGCCAGCAAAAGGAGGCTGTGAATATGAAGTGTCCCAAATAATGAGGCAACTGACAATAACTTGTTACCCAGAAGCAGTGAATATACTATGTGTCAAAAACACAACAGAAGATGGCATTTTTTTCCATTTGGATAATTAGTTGGAGTTAGTGAATGTCAGTAGTTTTCTTTCCCTAAAAATTTTTTAACTCGAGAAATAAAATGCCTTAGCATAGTAAAATAGATATGTGGCTAAAGCCGTTCATAAGGTAAAATGCCCATGGATTAGTTGAAGAAAATTGATCCAGACAATCATTCTTAACATTCAGTGTTACAGGGATGAGGTTGTTCCTTGAACTGGAACATTGTTTTAGGATACCTTATCTTTTTAAAGGTGAGAAAAACAGTTTAAAAAAAAAACTGTTTAAAAGTCCAAATCATTAATATACTACACAGTTTAAGGATGACCAATACATTAACCTTCTCTTACCTGCCGAGCTCTATGTTCAGGTTCCACCCTTGTTCCATGCATCAGTATTTCCACTAAAATAAATGTGAGTTGTGCGCACACATCCTCCAAGAGCAAAATTTTGACTTCAAGAAATCTAAAAGAGCAGACAAGATTTTCTGCATTGCTTGGACCATATCATGCTCCCTACATCCCTATGTGAAGAGGTGCCTCCATCCTGGGTTTTCAACTCCCCAGTCAGCCTGCGTTGCCTTTTTCTGTGGTGCATTCCCTGCAAGAGGGCATTTCCTCATAGCACAGCTCCATTGGAGCCATCCTGCCTGAGTGCTGGGGGCCAGTTGTGGTGCAGGGATAAAGTCTTCTACAAAATCTCCTGGGATCTGACAGATTTGTCTCACTGAGGTAAAGGATTGACCCCCAATCCCCCTTTTACAGGATTACAATGAGGAAACCTCTAAGGAATTGTAGTAGAGATTTCCATACAAAAAGCCTCTGTTCCATAATTTAACATGTTTGGGGCAGGGGGGAGATCACCATTTTTATGGAAGGAAGCTGGCCATTTGGTATATGTAAGTGTTTTGGCTATACATCTCTTGTTAAGTATTCTTTCTCTGAAGAACATATTTAAACTGCTGGGTTTTAGTCATATTTTTCCATCTAATTTTTCTTTCCAATAAGTTTCTCGCATAATTTTTCTCAACTGTGAGAAATTTAGCCCTTTTAGTACCAAATACATAAATTATTAGTTGGGACTGTCCTCATTGTCTACATTGAATGTAATCAGATCGCGATCATTGGTCAATGGGCAATTTCCAGTCCAGTGATTAACTCATCTTTATCCCTCAGAATGTGGTCCAAAATAGTTCTTGTGTTGGGTGCAGTATTTTTTTGTGTTATAAACTTATAAACTCTTATTTTCTAAACTCCAGTGTTTTACTACCACCTGCACAAAACCTCCATTTCATGCCTCTCAAATTGAAGTTCTCCCTAACAACCGTCCCCCCCCCTCCCCCTCCATACACTAAACAGTTACAAAAGGAGTAACTTAGAGGACAATTTAAGAACACCCTGGTTTGATTTGGTGGTCTGTAACAGATCTCCCCAGTAGTTAGCACAGTGATCTATATGCAGTCAAGATCCTATAGTTTTGCATTAAGCATAACTCTAAAACAGGTAATGGTGTCACTATCCTTCCTAAACAGGTTATAACCAATGATATTTGACATTCCAGACCTGTGACTTGTCCCACCCGTTTCATTAAGGTCAATGTCTATTTTCTATTAATTGAGAATTTTCAGTTCCTCTTGCTTGTTACCCATACTCCTAGCATTGTTAATTAATTTTTTCTCTTCACATGTTTTCCCACATCTCTTCAATGTGTTTGGAACATGTTGAATATGAGTTGGTACGACATTTGGCTCCTCCACTCTCACCTTTCTTTGTTAGGTTAATGCTCTCCAGGCGGCTTCTGCTAGTCTCCAGCTGAGAAATTCAGCCCCCGTAACTCTGAGCCTGCAAGATGCAGGCCATCTCGTTCATCGTGCCCCCTCTCCCACTGGAACGTGGCCTACTGTTCCACAAAAATTCCAGTGTCACACTAGTCGTGCCGCCAGCAATTCCTCTCCTTCAGCCTTCTATTGATGGGACCAGAAGGATCTATGAGAATATCACTTGGTCTTTTATCTTCATCTCCTTTTCAAGATCTAAGTCTTTTGTAGTTTGTGTAGTTCCATGTGATGCTAAGTCATTGGTTCTAATGTTTCAACAGCAGTGGAGACTTGCCAGATTACTTCGTAATTCTGTCCAATCATGCAATTACATGTCAAATTTTTGCTCCAGGGAGACAACACACCATCCTGTTATTCTTCAGTCCCTTGCTGAGTTCTCTCTCCACTCTTCTTTATATGGAATCACTAATGATAATTGTTTGCATTTTCAGGATGACTGAATAATCTGTCACAAGGCAAACAGCTACCAAACTGCAAGGATGCCCATTAGCTATGACCCCAATAGCTTTCTGTTCCGTTTCTCGATAGCTGACTTACTGGTTATCTGATAACTATTTGATAATTTTAGCCAGGCTGAATGCCTCCTAGCTCTGTGTCACAAGTGGTCAGTTTGTTTGTTGGCTTTCTGCTCTTTCTAGTTCCCTTATTTCCAGTCCTTCCCCTTGTGGTGTCTGTGGCAACAATTGCTGAACCTGGTTATCCAAGAAGTAGTCACCTTCTTGGATGAAGTACATTTATGAAACTAGCATTTCCAGACTACATCTCCTTGATAGTACCCCTACCAGCCAGGCAGCATTCTTGTTTTATCCCTTGCCAGCAGCTTGTGTTTATCCCTTTCTATGGGAATTTGGAATCGGAGCATGTGGGAGAAGTACTTTCAGTAAACAGTGGGTCTCTGCACTCAAGTGGATAGGAATAGCTTTTTTTGTCTCCTGGGCAAAGCTCTTTGCCTCTTAAAGATTAAATAGGAAGAAAGTTGTACAAATCTGAATATGTGCTGTTAGGCAGCTGAAATCCTCTTTGGAAAAATGTCTATAGGGTTTGACTTTCTGAAAACACCGCCTGACAGAGAGTGGGAGAGAAATAGTGGAAGCAGAAAAAGCTGTGAGACCATGGATCTAAAAATACATTTCTGAAGGTGTGGGTAGGAGGGGTTTGGTATTCCTGAAATCACTTGTCTTTCTTTCCTGCTTTGAAATTTGGTCTCTAATATTGTAGTAGCAGGTCATATATAGGGCTGTATGCAGGAGCCCTCAGAACTCCAGCTCTTGTGACACCAAGCTAAAATCATGAACAACTGGAACTGTGAATAGGGAACAAAATAAACTTAGATTGTAATTGGGGCCTGTTTGTTCATATACACCATAACCAGTTCAGTGGGGCATTGATCCCTGACCGCCCTCTAAGCACGACTGTAATACAACTGATGTCAGAGCCAACACTAACTGTGCAAAGGGCTGGGTGGCTATTGGCTAAGTTATCACAAAAATTGTCCTTAATCCTTATTAGTTTCCCTTAGATCATTCAGTCTGAGCAGCAGTTTCCAGGACATTTCAGTTAGTGTCTTTACTACCTTGTACTTCCTCTGCATTTTACTCCTTTGATGAGAAAAGCATCTCTACAAGAGCAGCATCCATTTTAGAGAAGTTTACACACTATTTGTGCTTTGACAGGAACTAAGTAACATAACACTTCTGTGTATGTCATAGTCCCGGAAAAAGCGTTCAGCCTTGTACAAACCTCCAAAGCAGAAACTGTATTTGTTGACCACAATCTAGAGAGATTCACAAAGATGACAGCCTGCACAGAGAAGTCCAAAATTAAGGATGATTTAGGATTAAGGCCTCTATAGTTTAACTGTAAATTGCTGTATTTGCTCTGCAGAATGTGTTTTCTTAGGGACATGAGAGGATGAGGGCTTGGCTAATTGGCTTACAAAAAGCATTCAGGTTTGAGTGGTGAATTCATTTGGGAAGAGGACCAGAATTAAAATGCTCAGTGTTAAGACTTGTATCATTGGAAGAACAGAGTCATAAAAGAGAAATGTGAAATATGGTCTGCTATCTAGGTGAGGTGGAATTGTGATGGGTTCTGAAAGCAATAACAAGGAATGAAACTTTTTCTTGTGAATCTTCAAGATATATTCCATATGTTCTTGATATGCCATTTTTGACTGGTTGTTTTTTTTTTCCTGGTCTTAGGTTGTTGCTGACAGTTGGGGGGGGAAAACTCCCTATCAAAGCTGTTTAAATGAGAATGTCCCTGGCACAGAGAGTGCTGCTCACATGGCTTTTCACATTACTCTTCCTGATTATGTTGGTGTTAAAATTGGACGAGAAAGCACCATGGAACTGGTTTCTTATCTTTATTCCAGTCTGGATATTTGATACTATCCTTCTCGTTATGCTAATTGTAAAAATGGCTGGGCGATGTAAGTCTGGCTATGACCCTCGCAACGGTTCTCAAAACGTAAAGAAAAAGGCCTGGTACCTCATCGCAATGCTGCTTAAATTAGCTTTCTGCCTTGCCCTCTGCGCTAAACTGGAACAATTTACTGAAATGAAACTAGTGTATGTCTTTATCCCCTTATGGGCCTTGCTCATGGGGGGAATGATTGAGCTTGGATATAACATCTTCTATGTACGAAGAGACTAAGTTGTAACAAAACTTTTTCAAGTTGACCAATATCAGATTACTGGATCCATCCTATCTTGGTACAAGCTTAAACTTCACACAGCAACTACAAATAATAAATGTCAATCTGAAAATTTTATTTAAGACAGGCTGGTATTTAAAGTGGACTTGTTCAGTTTTTATTTTAGAACTGTCACAAATATCTTCATGTAAATAAAGTATGTTTGATTTCAGCTGTGTTTCTAAACATGATGTAATTTGTTAAAACAGAATTCACGCATTTTTGTGACACACATCTTCACCGCCTCATAAAACTACTAGACCTTCCATTCTAAAGAGTGCAGCCTGTTTAAATTCTGGGAGGAGGATTTAGTTTTCCACTACATATTGTAATAAGTAGCTCCTTGGAACTGATAGAATAGTTCTAATACAGTTTTCTGTAATGTACTAAATTTTCTGTGGAGCATTGATAACAGCTGAAAGTATTTACAGTGGGGCTAATACCCCTGCCTATTACCATTGCCTGACATGTCACATAAGATGCTGTTTTTCTGTAATTTACAACTATGCCAGACTAACAGTTCAGGTTGAAATTTTCCAGGGGGTTTCTGCCTCAGAATAATTTTTTTTTTTAGTTAATTAATTTTGGCTAATAGGGTTCAGCCATTTCTGAGACAGGTTCTCTTTCAAAAACTCTAGCACTCCTGGATTTTGGAGCAAGGAATTTGAAATGAGGGAGGAAGTCACTTTGTGTCAGGGAGGTGCCTTTTGCCATTCTCCGTGACCATCTGCACAAATTTGGGCAAGTTATAAGCCTTTGGGCAAAAAATGTTTGCACATGTTCAGTACAGGCTTGAGCAAAAAATCTCAAAAGATTCAGTTCCCACTCAGACCTCTCTCAGCTCCTAGTGCTGACCAGAGTGTTCATGCACCATCCCCACAAAGCCCAGGGCAACAAAGGTGAAGTCAGACTCTCCCAGTAATAGCTGCTCTGGGGTTAGTGACTAGAAATAAGACCTGGGAGCTTATCTCTTCTGTGCTGACAGTGACCTCCCTCCTGGCACCAAAGCAGCATAGAGTAAGCTGTGTGATGCAAATGGAGAGAGGACAAGACCCAGACTTAGGAAATTGTGGAGTAGATTAGTAGAAAGAGCCTGGGGGTGGGAACTGGGCCTGTCCAGATAAGGAGACTTAGGTCTGTAACCTAGCAGGCACCTAGAGGGCCTGGGAGAAGGAGAGACATCAGACAAGCTAGGGGAGATGAGGATGTTGAAATTAGATGAGACACCCAGGGAGGGAGACTGACCGGGAGCCAGTGGGGATGGGAACGTGTGTCCAGTGGTTAAGGGAGTGTGTAGCCAAAGGCTATGGGAGGAAAGAAAAAGATCAGGGAGTGGGGGAGAGAACTGGGAATGGGCAAGGAGATTGACTAGGTTAGAAAACTGGGACAAAAGGCCAGTGGTGTGGTAGACACAGGCAGGTATGGGGAGATAGGCAAAAGAAATCAATCTTGGGGGAGATGGGTAGTATATTTTATGCCTAGTGGATAACACACTGCTCCAGTTCCTGGAATGGATCCCAAGATCTAAATTGCACCATTCTTTGTCAGCAAACATTTGAGACCACCCCTGGTAAATGTCCATCCTCTTTTAGAGATGGTTGACCTAAAGAATGATTTCTTACTACTACTATCAGTTACTTAGCTCTAGTAGCAGAGGTTTGTATGATGGATGTAAAGATCTCAGTCCCTGATGCTGAGCCATGTAGTTTTCACTATTATGCCTCATGATGGGATTTGTTTTCTCAGTTTACTTTTTTAACTATTTAGAAAATTACATACAAAATACATTTAAAACATGCAAAGGTACAAAGTCAAGCACACAAAAAGTAGGAAGGGCTGGAATTAAGATTGCCTGTGAAACCTTATTTCAGCACTTTTTTGCATGTGTGTCAGGTCCCGTTGAGAAGATAAAGCCACTAGTTTCATGTGTTTTAAGCCTCTGGCATCTGAACCAGTGACTTCAGGCACAGCCCTGTCTTAGGATCACTCAACACACTCAGGTTTCTGATCTATCCAGAGAGGTGCAACCACACAGCCTGCTGCACCCTCCCAGGAAACAGGGCTAAGGCCCCAAACTCCCCTTGACAGAACTCCACCTGAAAGTGTGAGCTTTCTTGTTTACCTCTTCAAAGGGCAGATGATACCTGTAGCATACTTTCTATGCTACAGACTTTGGTTAAGGCAGGTTACATGGGCATATAGCCAGTGAAGTTTATATAATTTGGGCATATTTGGCTGCTTGTATCAGCTTTGTGCTTACCGGGAGCACTTATGTTGATGTAAAGGGTGGTGCACCATGGGGAGGTATTCCAGTGTGCCATGCATCGCTGTCCAGTGAATACCTTTTGAGTTATTTTTGCAATGTTTATGGGATAGTAATGACTCACCCAGGTATCTCCAGGAGCTAGGGTTCAGGTTCCCAGCATGCAACTGTTTCCATCCCATACTTTTTTCAGCTTGTTTTAAAAATCTCTCAAACTCACACACAACTTTTTCGTTTCTGCCACTCTGAAAGAAGCATGGAGCGCCCAGAGCTTTGCACCAATCTCATGAATGTTGTAAACACATGCCATGATTCTACTGTATCTGCAGACTCTAGGAAGTACCACAACAATCAGGGATATGACAATTTCTTTGAGGGCAGTTTGCTGAGGGACATAACGGAAAATATTTCAAGGTTGTTTGGTGGTATTCATGGAGCAACTGCAGACAGTGGAGTGCTGCTTCTGGGTCCGGAAACAAGCACTGACTGGTGGGATCATAATGCAGGTTTAGGACGATGAGCAGTGGCTGCAGAATTTTTTGATGCAAAAGGCCACATTCCTAGAGCTGTGTGCCAAGCTCGCTCCAGCACAGAGACGCCAAAATGAGAGCAGCATTGACAGTGGAGAAGTGAGTGGGAAATGCACTCTGGAAGCCTGCAACGCCGGATTGCTTCCAGTCTGTGGGAAATTATATTGGAGTTGGAAAATCCACAGGTGTATGTTGATTTGTATACCAAATGCAGCTAGCCTTGCAAAAGGAGTCACAGGAGCAGGTCCCTTTATCAGACCCAAGATTAAAAACACACTGGCTAGTTCCACTGCCTGGATATGTTCTCAGAATATGTCCTGTGGTAGGCAAGTTAGAACTCTTATAGAATATATGGGGAACCTTATAAAGGTTTTGAAACCTTTGGTATACTCTTTTATAGAGATCTGAACAGAGAGCAAGTGACCCAATATGGGAGCTCTTCCAGAATTAGCTGGTGCAATATTCAGATCTGTAGAGTCCACAACTGCTACTAATTTCAGGCTTGGTGCCAAGATATTCTCAGAACTGGGAAAAGCAGATCTCTTGCCATTCTGCTGCAATCTCACCTTTAAAGTGATTCTGGTTCAGGTACAAGAACATCTTTAGAATCTCACATATCTTTGGCAGTTCCATAGGTTAAATCTTACCAAGTTTTTCCTCTGTATGGGTACTTTAGGATTTTGAACCTAGATCTGACAGGTTCTTTGTCTTCAACTTTCTCTCTTAATTGATATACATGGCTCCAGAATTCAGGTATTTCTATAAAATATCAAGTCAACAGATGAACTTACAAAGGTAGGTGATCTTTAGTTTTAAAATGGATGAGGTCTTGGAGAAACAAAAGGCCACCAGATTTCAGATTGAGTCAATCAGTGCCTCACAAAATTCTCTTTCAGAAGTCAGCAGGTGTGATTTCAGTAGAAATCTTCTGTATCCGTCTACGTACAGAGACCCAGACAGTCTAGTAAAATTTTTTGCCATATCAAAAACGGCAAAGTTTGTTTTTCCCTAGCCTCTGCTGCCTCAGAGGATCCCAAACCAATTGTAAGATTTAAATCCTCTCTTTTCCTCCTTTTTGGAGACAATTTGTCCGCAATTGTTTCAGGTATGACAAGCTATTTAGTTAAACTGCTCTGTACTAGAAATCAAACAGAACACACTTCAAGATCATACCAACATCCGGTCCTTCCTCACCCGCAGGAATCTTTTCATGAAAAAATGATGCGAAAAGTGGTCTTGACCTTACTGAAAATTGAAATCTGGAGACAGAAGTAGTACAAGACTTCGGAGGGGAGAAAGGAGAATGGTTTTATTCCTCCTTTATAGCCACGTCTTATTTCTAATAGAAACGGTCTTACACATTCTACTGCATCTCTGCAAATTGAAAAAATGCAAAAATTCTGGTCATTGGAGAAACCATGCACAATATCTTCTTTCAGCCTTTAGGACTGGTTTGCCACAGATTCTTGGGAGGGCTACTTCCATAGTGTTGTAAGGACAAGACAAAGTTTCTCCAGTTCATAGTAGACAAACACCCTTGCAAACCTCATAAGATTCATTAAGTGCTCAAATGTTCTCTGACTCATTGGCATCACCCAAATCTACAGGTGTAGCCAGATCTGGATGAATGACTCACAACAGATTCTCACCAGGAAGAGGTCTCATCCATCTGGTGCCAAGGAGAGAAAGACTGGTCAGGAGAAAAATCTTATATGAAGCAGTCTGATGGATTCCAACAGGTTGTAGTTAGGGTTCATATTCCTGGGGGAATTCTGTGCCACTGCGCAATCCAGAATTTTGCAGAAAGTAATGTGCATGCAGAATTTACTTCCTCCACAGAAATTGGCTGCAATGCTCCTGGGGTCAGCTGGACCCAGCAGAGCCCAGCTTGCATATAGAAGATACTGTCTGGGGGAGGGGGAAGGAGCTAGAGGGTTCCTGGCAGCTGCAATTCCCTGCATGCCCTGAGGGAAGGAGACAGAGGTGTGCAGGAAACTCCACATGAGTCTGGGACCCAGCATCAGGCTGTTTCTTCCTCTGGATCCTTGGGCGGGGGGGGGGCTGTCTGGGTTGGGGGGGCACAGCTGGGCTCTGGGGAGCAGGGGGGTGGGCTGGGGGAGCCCATGACTGAGCTTTGGTGGGGAGGGGGTGTGGGTATCTGGGCAAGGGGGTTCATGGCTGGGCTCTGGGGGGCATATGTGTGAATATCTGGCCAGGGGGCCTCCGCAGCTAGGCTCTGTGGAGAGGGGGTGTGCAGGTATCTGGGCTGGGGGGCCCTGTGGCTAGGCTCTGGGGGGAGGAGGAGGCAGAGAAACAGAAACTGGGTTGTTATAGGGGTTTCTTTAACTCTCTACTCCTGGGGGAATTATTTTTGTATCT